ACCTCGTACGTGGATTCAAAGTTGAAGCGGACGGGTGGTGACGGTTGGTGTTTGGTGTAGAGTCTGCTCGATCCAACTAGGGTTGGAGAAGCTGGATATGGAAGGCATCATGGATCTTCCAGGTGGCTCGTAGGCGTAAGTTGAAGGTGACTGAACTGACCTCTGCTTCAACGAGGATAGACCCACAGAAGCAAGGCTGAAGCTTGGATGGAAAATGATTGATGTCAAGATTACGGTGTGGATAACTGTAGTGATGAGCGGCCAGGTTCTTCTGCTGTTGGTGGATGTCCAAGTGGCATGTCCGATGTTAGAGCTGATCGACAACGGTGATGAAATGGATTTGTCGAATGCTGGTCCATGCCTTAGTGTTGTCGCGAGTCGTACCCTCTCGGCATCGTAGTGCTGCGGGATGGAGAGCACAATCACTAGTAGTAACCTTGTCCACCACGTGGTCTACTAGTCACACTGCCTTGAGTTCAACACCGCATGTGAAGTGCTGCCCAGCGTATCCCTTCTGTTCAAAACCATGCGAGGGGTTGGTACCATAAACGTGAGCTAGTAACTTCTAGAATTGGCGCCAAAGTAGTTTCCCTCAGTGATTGCTCAAACAAGGAATCTTAGATGCGTAGATATCCCATGATGATGAGTTCGGTCATCTAGGAATACCCAAATAATCCTCTCCCATTTCCAAGTGGGTATTGCTGATAGCCAATCCAATATGACCATATGAACTTCCAGTTTAGCACGAAGACCATAGGTAGGCATCGGTGTTTGGGCGCAAAAATTAGGATAGGTCTTCTGGTGCCATCATTTGTTGTCTCAGTCTGTCACTCTCCTTGTTGTAGCTTTGATGTCAAAGATGTCTCGGCTACTCAGCATCAGTGTTGAAGTCTGCTCCATTTCGGCAAATAGGGGTGTTGTTGGAGATACGCAGAGTCCACTATCTGGAGTGGCATTGGCGCTCCATTTCACGCCTCTCTGCTTCCGTGGAGGTGGTGTTGGCGATGGATTAGTTGTGACGCAGGTTTTATTATTTTAAGAAATGCCATAGGCTATGAGGACTTGTACACCGATACAGTACCGTAGTCCTCCCATCCTCATAAGAGAAAATATCTCGTGCTCTTGAGGGTATATGGCATTGCCATAGCTATTCCAGTGCGTAGTGGTATCTCCTTTCCACTAGCTGGAAATCATAGTATTGTGCCTGGCCGGGTCGTGACAATCATATGGGAATATAATCCAGCGTTATCTCCATTGAGCGGAGAATTATCCATCGGGATTTGGTTCTGACTGTTGTGTCGAGTCTTCTGTTGCAGCGACGGTAGCGACGATGGCGACAGCGGCACCTGCTGCAGAGAATTCTCTCAACTCGTAGTGGTTGAAGGAGAATCCATCAACTCCCTCTTCCTAGTAGAGTGTCCCTGATGGGTGTAAGAGGCGTAACTACCAGGAACACATGCACATTGGTACACATGTGTTGCTTCATTGCTATTGGTGATGGTTTCATTTGAGGGTATGAAGAGAAATTTGCTTTTCCCCTCAATGTATCAACGTGTAGCAATTCCTGGTACTGTATGCTCATCCGTGCCTCCGATGTACAGTCGGTAGAGCACGTGATCGTGTTCTAGTAGTCCGCATCTCCCTTATTTGTTGACACCTCGTGTTGCTTGGCGTTCTCCTGCATCGTCGAAGTTACGCTGATGCTTCGAATCGCCTCCAGTGCATGTGCCGTAGGGCCGCTAGTGAACGAATACTTGCCGGATTCGAGGTTAATTACTCCTCATTCTGTCAAGCATCGTAGCATGCACGGAATTTTTTCCACGCAGGTCATTAGTACATGGAATCGCGACGCATGATTGGTGTGTCGCCTCATGGGATTGATGTTGAGACTGCTCCAATGAATCATTTCGGATGGCTGAGATTCTTGATGAAGACCAGTCGATCAGCTCCTGTTACGAAGTAGTGTCTCGCTGACCTTGACGAGACGGGTTCACGGCGTCGTCATTGCGCGCGAAATCTGCTCCTTCGCAGCAACTTGAACTTGGGAGCATTGCAAGAGAAAACAACTAATTCTCTGCTATCCCATAGTTTGTCAATCAATTTATGTGAAGAAGTGGCTCGTGGATGGAGAACATGTCTTCACGCAACTTCTTTTTTTTTCCTGTGTGAAGATCCGCTGTGTTGATGTCGATCCATTTTCAACGAAGATGACTTTGTTAAAATAAGTAGACCGTTATCGACACTAGTTAGAAGATGCGTCGATTATGTAGTCGCCGGTCACGAATGTTGTCTCCATTTTGATGCTATTTCATCGAGTAGTCTCCGCTGCATTCGCGATGTTGATCCCATACTAATCCGACGATCCATGTTCTCCTATCAATATTCTGCTTCCAACTATTACCAAAAAGGTACTTCTTCGGCAAATTTCTGACTCTGCAGATGATCTGCGTGCCACATTCATGACCAAATGGAGGAATATGAATTTGGTTGTCTTGCTGATATCAACAGTGTAAAAGGCGGCGATTTTTTTGTTCTGCGCGTCATTCTTCCTTTGTGTAGAAGTCGCGCTCCATCTCGTCCGTTGAAGCCGAAGTCCATCCGACGGTCCAAACTCCAAGCAATATGAAAATATTCCTAAGTCGCGCTCAGCAACTTTCGGTGTCTGGGTCCCCTAGTTGCTGCAATTTTCGGTCGTCAATGTTGGCTGTCGAACGATCGGACGCTCCAAAGAATTTCGCGGCTTGCGAGGTCCTGTTCCCATTCACGCCGAGACCCGAACTTGCTCAGTAGGATTCCGTTTCGCACCGGTCGATCTGAACTGTCGAATCTCCATCGGACGGATGTCGTCGGTCGTAGCTCCACACATGTCGGCGCAACTCGAAGAGTCGTGGCGAATTGCGAACTTCTTGGAATGTCGCAGGGAGTGTTCCGCCAGAACTGCCACGCTCGCGAGGTCGAGGCCATTTGCCCCCGAAAAAAATCGGCACCGTCGATGCAGTCCATCAAACGGTTGGCAAGGCATCTCGCCTTTGTAGGGGACCCCGGGTGCAACTGCGCGAGGTAAGTCAAAACTTCAAATGAAAGAGCATTATCCTTACAGGAATTGAAGTTTCAACTCCATCCTCTGCGTGCTGCTAGGGGCCCAACGGTTAAGCGTTGAGCTGAAACCTTTGGCTCTAATAACCAAGTGTCATAGGATCGAATGAGGTTTGCTCAATGTTGCACTATCCATGAGTACAAGGTGTTTTTTTACTTCCATGGCACGTAAGATAACCAGTTTTATCATATCCAAAGGGAATAGATCCTTCTAGAAATAGAATCACACTGTATATAGCCATGCAAGGCTATTGGCTTGAAGGGATTACGACAAGATTACGATAAGATTACGACAAGATTACGCTAGATATAGCGCGCCAGTACATTCCGAGCCTGGTCAGTGGTATAATTATAATAACAAGATAAACCAAATGATTACGCAAAAAGAGTAATTGGAAACCAAATGAAATAAGATAATGACCAAATAAATCAAGATCAAAAGAGGAATGAAATAGAAAGGAAATATGGAAATGGGAAATTGGTGTAACGGGGTCGTACTCTCACAGGCAAGTTACGTGGATAGAGGCTTCAGTGAGCGTGAGGGTGTGGACTACTCTTCGGTTCCTTCTTCACATAGCCGCGCAGCGTGATTACGAGCTTCACTCACTCGACTTCTCCACAGTGTTCCTGCAGGGTAGTTTGCACGAGCACATCTATCTTTAGTGCCCTCTAGGCTTCTTTGGGTCCTTCCCACTTGGGACCCAGTGGAGCCTGCGACGCCCTGTCTACAGCCTTCGTCAGGCACCCCGTGAGTGGCACGACATGCTTCGCACCACTCTTTTTGGGCTGCAGTTCTTTCCGTCCTCTGCTGACCCCTCTCTCTTTGTTCGCACGGGTCAGAGACCGTTCTACATTCTAGTGTACGTGGACGATCTTATCTTTGCTACTCCTGACAGTGTCGCACTGGCCTCAGTGAAGGCCGAGTTACTTAGGAGACACACCTGTGCAGACTTGGGAGAGCTGAGGCACTATCTGGGCTTGGAGATCTCTCGTAACCGTGCAGCTCGCACGATCACACTAGGGCTTGTGCTAGGAGGACGGGAGCCAGAGGTGCTCCCTGGACACACAAACGCGTCGTGGGCTACGACGTGGAGACGCTCAGGTCGTCTCAGGGCTACTGTTTCAGTCTTAGTGTTGGGGCAGTCTCTTGGATGTCCACCAGGTCATCGTCTATTGCTCAGTCGAGTTGTGAGGCACAGATCTACGTTGGGGCCATGGCCGCTCAGGAGCTCTGCTGGCTGACGTTCTTGCTCACTGACTTAGGTGAGCAGCCTAGGTCTGCCCCAGTCATGTTTGCTGACTACAGGGTCATGATCCTTCTTTGTCAGGAGGCTCGACTTGAGGGCAGGGCGAAGCACATCCAGATGCTATACTTCCTGTTGCATGAGTTGCAGCAGCGCGGCCAGGCTCGAGTGGTACAGTTGGTCTCAGAGGCCAACACCGCTAATATCTTCACCAAGGCACTTGCGCCTCGTAACCATTAGCGGTTTTGTACTCAGCTTGGTCTCGTCTCCATAGCAGCACCACTCCTTGTATCCTGAGTCATACTATACCTGCTTGTACTTGTTCTATATCTGCTTGTCTTGCTACACTTGCTGACTGGTCTTGTGGCCTTGTCTCAGGTGGTCAGACTAGAAGTGTTGCTCTGAGTTGCCTTGTTGCCCTCACCAGAGGTCAGACTAGTAGTGTTACCCTGGTGTACTGTGCCTTGTTATGAACTGCCACTATCTAGGCTAGGGGATGTGTCAACGGATATATTTATATTGTAGATTAGCTAGGTCATATTTGTTCATAGCCTAGCTAGTTAAGTTCTTAGTGAATACAGCCCTAGTTTTGTGTCCCTTAGTCACACAACTTTTCCCGCTACTCTAAGAGTAATACACAGGCAAGGAGATGAATAATGAAATTCGCGTTTCCGATTCTGATCCTACTTCATACGTATTCGCCCTTAAACCCATTAAATTTGTGATTATGATGAGAGCATTGACACATACTTCGGCATGGTTACAGATTTTTCCCGCTCCCAAACAGCCGGGAGTACACAAAATCTTGAAGCCACAGGGGCATAGACCCTGCAATCACAGCAGGAAGCGCGCTTGTGCCAAACAATATCCTGATTGGCGGATTCGGGCTAAGTGCTGCGTCAGCAATACGTTTTGCCAGATCAGACGCAGGTGGAAATGACTGGTTCAGCGCCCGTTTGGCGTAAGATTCACGGATATTAATCTCCATGGCTTTAAACGGGCTCGATGGTGGGAGCACGGGAATGTGTGTCACATTCTTGCTGCAGCAACGAAAGTGAGCAGATGGGGAGACGGTATGGGAGGGAGGACGGACGTTAGTGAGAGGAGGGAGGGGGGGGGGGGAGGGGAGGGGGGGGGTTGAGGGGAACAAGTATGCGGGAGATCAAGATGGAATCATTTGTGCTGTGGATGGGAGGTATGATGGACATGCAAATGCAGTTCACACGTTGTATGAGATCAAGGAAGGTGGATAGCATTCAGACGATTGACAGCACGGGTGACCCACCCTGCTTAGGGCAGCCACTTGAAATGAGTATAGTCATGCATTGTGTAGAAATAGCACCTGAAAATTTTTGTTCGGATGTAACCAGGTGTTACAAGCACCACGCCGATCCCCAGAGGTTTCATTTCCACGCGCATGCAGTTGGTAACTGCGCTCAAAGCCGCCTTGCTGCTGCCATAGGTCCCCACAAACGGCCTAGTGTGTCATGCAACAAGGGGTCAAAATAAACAGAAAATGAATTTTAATGCTGTAACCTTTCATGCCATTTACAGGGAAACGGTGTGAAAGCAGAGATACATGCGTAGCCAGGTTTGAGGTTACCCTCATCTCGTACCTGTAAAGGGCATCTAGCCTCATCACTTACCTGTGGGTGTAGCCAGCAACACTAGAGACGTTGATAATCCGGCCACCCTTCTGCTTCTGCATGAAGGGCTACATCGACTGAATCCTAGCCTCTAGTCTGAATTGTTACCTGTAAGTGTAGCCAGCAACACTGAAAATATAAAATATGAATTAATAGCCTCAGCTGTTACCTGTAGGTGTAACCAGCGACACTGGAAACATTAATAATCCGCCCGCCCTTCTGCTTGTGCATGATGGGAATCACCGCCTGTGACAGCGCCAACGCACCAAAGAGATTCGTGTCGTAGACCTAGGGGGGGAGAGAGGATGGGTGAGAGGAGGGGGGAGAGAGAGGATGGGTGTAGTTTTTAAGGGGCCCAAACACCACGCACCAAAGAGATTTGTGTCGTTGACCTGAGGGGGGGGGGAGAGAGATTGGAAAAGCAGAAGCGGAGAGATTGGAAAACGGGACAAGAAGAGGAAGAAGGGGGAGGCAGGGCGGTCGTGGTTTTTGAAATGGAAAGAAAAATACGACATGAAATGGCAGTCGGAAAGAATAATACGAAAAAAAAAAAAAAAAACCACGCGCATGCTCCCACCTGCTTGATCTTCGCGACGGGTACTTCTGCTAGCGGCCCCGGTAGCCCACAGCCCGCGTTATTCACAAGCACGTCAACTCGCCCTGTTGCACTAGTCACCTCCTTCACTGCCGCCTGGAAGCGTGGGGTTTGGGGGGGGGGGGGGGGGGGGGGGGGGGGGGGGGGGGGAAGGAGAGGAGCGAAGGGGGGTTGGGGGGGAGAGTGGGTGGGTGGGTGGGTGAAAAGGGGGGGGGGGGAGGAGGTGGGTGGGTGGTGGGGGGCATAAGTGTGAAATGGGGTGGCCAATCCACCCAATAGCAGCAAGAACGACCGATCGTTTTGAAAAAGTCGTGGGCCGTTCAGATGTGGATCTCTCGCACAGGCAAGATCACGACCGTCAGATCACCTGGATGGACGGCTCAGATGTGACGTCGAGTGGCAGCGTGTGCATCCCTTTCTCCTTGAGGCCCTTCATCGTGTCGACCCGGCGTGACGTGGCGAACACGTTGGCTCCGCGCCGATGAAACTCCCTAAAGCGATGACGTGGCAAGGGCGTGGAGAGTACGCAAAGGCAGTGGAGAATGACGTGACTTGACTTTTGCAAAGAAGCAAGGTGAGGAAAATGACAAAGAAAAAGCGACATGGCTTGTGTTAACGTGACAAAATCAAGCGCACGATGCACATCCAGCCAAGCTTGATCCCAAAAAAGGAGTCTATTATTGAGGCGCCTCAAAAATAGACCATGCGTGAGGAGTCTATTTTTTAGGCTCCTAAAAAATATACTCCTCTCGCACGATGCACATCCAGCCAAGCTTGATCCCAAAATGCCCGCCGCATGTGAGCACGCCGCATGTGAGCACGTCGCATGTGAGCACGCCGCATGTGAGCACGCCGCATGTGAGCACGCCGCATGTGAGCACGTCGCATGTGAGCACGCCGCATGTGAGCACGCCGCATGTGAGCACGCCGCGTGTGAGCACGCCGCATGTGAGCACGCCGCATGTGAGCACGCCGCGTGTGAGCACGCCGCATGTGAGCACGCCGCATGTGAGCACGCCGCGTGTGAGCACGCCGCATGTGAGCACGCCGCATGTGAGCACGACGAATGCCTGGATTATAGCGAAGGCAGAAGCGTATGTGAGCCTTACTCGGCGATGGCATAACCAATTCCTCCAGAGGAGCACCCCGTTATAAGAACCACCTTCCCATTGGCATCTCGCTCATTCGACTTGGCCAACGCGCCGCCCATAACGGAACGAGCAGAAGAATGTCCAGGTAATCAATCCCGAGGCTTCAGAGGAAGGAACTCGACTAGAAGCTCGCCGATTTTCGAAACAGAGAATGCTGATTAGATGATAGGCTTGCAGCACTAGAGCGTACGGAGGTGGGAAATGACCAGAAGGGGAACAGGGTTATAAATTTCGGATCGCATGGTTGCAAAGCAGCTAGGCACGACAACTGGTGGTGGTGTTGAAAAGCCTGGGGAAAAATAACTTTGGTCATGCAGCCAAAACGCAAAGTTTCAAGACGATTTAGTTCGGTTTCCTGGTCTGTGTGTGGAGGGTTTGTGGAAAGGGGCGAATTCTTTTTGCTAGGTGATCTCTTCGGGACGGCCCCGATTGAGTGAGGAGCCATGCCGTAAACGTCTCAGACGGTTGAGATGAAGTTTACGGGAAACTGACTGACGTGCGACTGATTGGTTGACGGGTTGACAGGTGTCAGTTCTGCTGACAGCTCCGGCGGCGGAATTTAGGCTCGGGCGATTTCACAAAATTCGAGAAGCGGTTACATGCAGCAAACGAAAACGAGGCTGCTGTTACTCTGCGGCGGTTCTGGTCGGCGAAGGTTAGATTCGCGAGAACGACCAGCTGACGGGCGTCTAGAAGAGCCATGTTCATCAACTTCGCAACAATTGATACTACTTACCTACACAATATGTAGAGGACTTACACAATGTTTCAGCGTATTTGCACTATCCATCTCTTTTGCTGGCTTGACGAGGCTGCGCGGAGTAAAATCTGGTTCTGAAAAGCGTGACACGCTACGTGTAAACGCGCAATCAGCGACTGGCCCGCAACCTCTCTCCAGCAATAGTCGGCCAGGTTACACCCCCTCGCGTCGCCTTCCCTCTGTTCAGCTAATAGGAGCCTCCCCCAATGCCCCAAGTTCCCGACTCCAGAAATTCCTCCTGAAAGCAACACCCATTGAACCGCACATAACCACGCTGAACTCCCCTCAGACGCACTGAAAATTGCGGCGTGACTGCAGCCCCCAACAGACCTGAGGAACACGAACACAAGAGATGCACAAATTGGAGTAGAAGGAGAGCACATAATTCATGTAGTAAAAAATTGGTCCTTTCACCCACCAATTCATCGTTTTGCTCGTCGACTCTGCAGCAATGGCTTCTTTCCTGCGAATCCTCTCAGTCTTCCTTCTCGTTTCTTCTGCTCTCACCAGCTCGTTCGCTGCGCCCACCAACTCCAATCTCAACAGTCTTGCCAAACCATCCTCCAATGACCCTTTAGCAGCTATCTCTACAGCAGCAGCAGGTGATTCTGCCACAAACGAGACCCCTTCTATTGAAGCATCCTCTGCGCCCAGGCGGCAGATATTCACCAAGTTCCCAGATCCCATCTGCAAGCGCGTTGGCGGATGCCAGGAGCCCATTGACCCCATAGATCCCATTGACCCTGTTAACCGGCCATGCATCCCGCCACGTCAGCCGTGCCCTCTGGTTCTCGAGGCCAGCTCAGCAGATACTGAGAAGGGCCGGTTCGGGTGCTATGGGCCCCAGATTCACTGCAACGGCAGCTGCTGCCTGGTGAGTTCTCAAAATACGCACACTTGCATGTCCCACCACATTCTGCTTCTTTACTAGATTACCTGCAATGGGAGCTGCTGCCTTCTACTACAGGCTGATCCCTCTTCCTTCTCCCTAACCAGCAATGGACTTCACAGGGAATTTCCCCTCGCTGCTGTGGCGGCAAGTGCTGCTTGGGAGGAGAATCTCAGGGTCTCACCTGCTGCCTGCCTTCGCCCACCAGCGACCCAACCACTGCCGGCACCTGCTGCAGCACGCGCACCAGCTTCTGCTGTGGCGGCTCCTGCTGCACATACGGGTCCACCTGTTGCAACGGCAAGTGCTGCGAGCCCGGAAGCACCTGCTGCAACGGCAAGTGCTGCGCAGGCGGCGTGAAATGCTGCGGCGGGCAGTGCGGCTGCCCGGAAAAATCATCCTGCTGCGGCGGGAGCGTATGCTGCAACGACAACTTAAAGCCCCAGTGCTGCAGTATTCCTGGCATGAGGGGCGGGGAATGCTGCCCTGGGATTGACAGCAGTGGGGAGGAAACCGGAAGCTTCTGCTGCGGGCAGCAATGCTGCCAGGGGTTCCCCACAGTTCGCCCTCGCTGCTGCTACTCGCCTAAGACTGGCCCCCGCTGCTGCAAGCGCCCCATCGAAATCCCCATTGATATTCCCATTGGTTTGTCGATCACACCTTAGGAGGACTTGGAGGGACGTTAGGGAGGCTGGGGATGCTGAGAAGGAAAACGTGTACCTGAGCAGAAAAGGGTTTTGAAGCTGGCCCTACAATGCGTTTCAAGACTGGCTGGGAATCGGCAAGGACGCAGAGGAGGAGTGACGGCGAGTCTGCTGCATTCAGGCGACGGATCTTATGGATCTGGACCCTGAGAGACTTCGACGAGTGATTTCAACGAATAAAGGGAGGGAGACACAGGGGAAGGGACATGATGTCATGCCGTGAGTTTCATGTCGTGCCATGAGTTTCATGTCGTGCCATGAGTTTCATGTCGTGCCGTGAGTTTCATGTCGTGCCATGAGTTTCATGTCGTGCCATGAGTTTCATGTCGTGCCGTGAGTTTCATGTCGTGCCATGAGTTTCATGTCGTGCCGTGAGTTTCATGTCGTGAATAGCTATTGGCCTTCTGCGTGTATGTCTCACTACGCCTTCATGCGAACAATCTGTACAGTCAACCTCATGAATGCCACGCCTTTTAAGACAACCACAAGCATCCCAGCGGCACGCTGCACTAGATGTCCGCGATTATTATCCGAGCCGCGCGCGCTTTATCTCCGCAGTCACTTCCAGCTTCCTCTTAGCCGCCTCAGGCGGGGCCTTGCACCGCTACAGTCAAGACCCCGTTATACGCACCAGCTGTCACCTTATCCGGCAACACATTCTCTGACACCCGGAACCAACGGAGAAACTTCCCCGTGCTCTGTTCCATCCCGTGGTGCTTATCATCTGGCGTGCCACGCTTTACCTCCGGGTCTATTGCCCACTAGTAATCGCCGCAACCCTAAAAAAGGAGAGTTTATTTTATATGAACTCGAACGTGCGGGAAGTGAGAATCGAAAGAGCCGTTGGTCGTGAGTGGAAGAGGTTAAGAAGATCAGATCTGGTAGAAACACTTGAAAGATCGCCGAGTAGCACACGCGAAAGAACCATGTCCTGTTTTCCGCTGTCTTGCAGAGTCCGTCCTACGAAATACTGGAGAGGAAGTGGAGAAAAGGAATGAACTGGAAGAGCTGCATTCAACCGAAGACACCCATTTTTAGCTCCTACCAGTTACCGTTTGATACAGCTGTGCGCTTCGAAAATGGCGGGAAATCGCTGGGATCTGCGGAACCGCAGACGAGAGCCCTCCGATCAAAATCGGACGGTTGTGGATACCCCGTATACCGAGCAGGAGGGAGGATGATAGTGTGCATGTTGATGGGGAATGTTGCATCACTGGTATTCGCGATTGTAGTAAGTAACAGCTACAGACTGTTCAATAACGACGGACGAAGCATTGATAAGCATTCGATTCTCCAATTTCAAGGGCATTGATAAACATTTCAAGTTTCAGTCCGAAGGGTCCATAAAGAAAGTGTGCTGAATAATTTCCTCCACTCTTTCTGGGGTGAAGGCATAGAACTTGCATGATGTCAAGTCATCCCTGCAAAACGTTATTAGACATTAGACGATAAGAACGAGAAAGGGGGGTGGTAGAGAAACCAATAATCATAAACACACACAGAAATAAACTGATTATCTCTCACACTCTCACCAGTACGGCAGCAGCATCTTCCTGTATCGCTCCTTGATCGTGGTCGCCCATTTCGCCCGGATCTTCCTCCTCAGCCCATCGTCAGGAATGGCCCAGTGCCTCTGCCTCTCCTGGAGCTCCTCAAATGCCAAGTTGAACCGTTTTAGACTGCACAGGGAAGACAGGAGGAAGAATGAAGACTAGACGGTGGGGAAGGGAGGAGCCTGAGGCACCTTCAGCCCATCGTCAGGAATGGCCCAGTGCCTCTGCCTCTCCTGGAGCTCCTCAAATGCCGAGTTGAACCGCTTCAATCTGCACGCAGGGGGGATGGTGAATAGTGGATGGTTGAGAAGGGGGGAATAAGAGGCACCGTCAGCCCATTGCCAGGATAGCTCATTGTCTCTGCCAACTGTGCTATATGCGGCATTAAGGGTTTAAGGATGGAGAATTGACAGTGGAGTGCTAATCTCGTCGGATACTCAGCCAATCGCCAGAAAAGGCCAGTGCTACTGCCTCTTTTACTGCTACATGGCATCAAACCGTAACAAGTGATCTTGCCGTTACTTGTCGTCGTATTCTCACAAATACATGTTATTTTACTGTCGAATGTCATCTCGCTGTTACATGTCATCTCACCGTTGCATCTCTGCCTTGACATAGTCCGCAGCAGTTCTGTGGGATGGCTGCACCGCATCGTCGTTGGTGCTGAGGGCTGTCATCACCTGTGATGGGGATGGAGTAGGGAGTCAGGAAAAAGAGAGAGAAAAAGACGATTCACAGCAGTTCTGTGGGATGGCTGCACCGCATCGTCGCTGCACACTGCACACTGCACCCTGCACGCTGCACGCTGCACGCTGCACACTGCACACTGCACATCATACCTTGAGTAGGGCGAGTGACTGGAACGCCCCCGCATGCTGCTGCACCACTCTGTCATCGTGCAGATCAGCGATGGCCACCATAAGGTCCTTAGCGCCCTCCCTGAGATGGAGGGGTGGGATGGGGAAGGAAATAAAGAGGGCTGTATCACTCAGAACCACTCTATATCACTCTGTCATCGTGCAGATCAGCTATGGCCACCATGAGATCATTGCCGCCCTCCCTGGGGGGAAACGAGGGAGAAAAGAGGGGGCAATCAGAGAAAGCCACCATACCTTCTAGCACCCATACCTACTCGCACCCATACCTACTCGCACCCATACCTACTCCATACCTACTCGCACCAATACCTTCTCGCACCCATACCTTCTCGCACCCATACCTTCTCGCACCCATACCTTCTCGCACCCATACCTACTCGCACCCATACCTTCTCGCACCCATACCTTCTCGCATCCATACCTTCTCGCACCCATACCTTCTCGCACCCATACCTACTCGCACCCATACCTTCTCGCATCCATACCTTCTCGCACCCATACCTTCTCGCACCCATACCTTCTCGCATCCACACCTTCTCGCACCCATACCTTCTCGCACCCATACCTTCCTATGACCACTTCCGAAGTAAACCGTACCTCCTCACAGCCGACAGGTTCTTTTCAATGCCCTGTGAGTGCCACCCGTGCCAGTCATTCCTGCCAAGTCAAATCAGATCAAAACAAGTCAAAGCAAGTCAAACCAGATCAAAACAAGTCAGCGCAAGTCAAACCAGATGAAAACAAGTCAAAGCAAGTCAAGACACAGACTTGCAGTGCAAAATCCAAGCTAGGCTGCTCCTTAAAGCCCTGGATTTCACCACATATTTGAGGTTGTTCTTAAAGCCCAGATCCCAAATTAGTTCACGCAACTCCAGGGGCAGAATTTGGGCTGGTTGGGGGAAAAAAAAAACGATTGTTTTATTGGGTGTGAAAAAACGTGATTCTGTTACTTAGCGCAGGGTTCATATGCAAGATGGGCCCAGTTTGATTTGGGGTGAGCTCAAGTTGGGTCACACGAGGATCTCACGGGACACAGGGACACATGAAGTCCCAAATTGTAAGCTCACTTACAGCCGTTGATTGGAAACCTGACGAGAGCAGGGTTTGGAGTTAGGCTTGGCAAGCCCGATCTAACGGTGGAAACTGCACGAATCAAACTGGGCCCAGTTTGCAAAGTTGATTTCCACCGTAGATATTCCAACCTCGATTTTGCCTCTCACTGTGGCGAAGGAACAGTTGGTTCTTTTTTTTTCTTGGTTTGTTCGCCAGCACGGTCAGCATCAAACTGGGCCCAGTTTGATGCATGCTTGACTAATTTGGGACCTGGGCTTTAAGGAAGAGCTGCTGTAGCTCCCTCCAAGCCTCACTATAAGTTTTACCCCCCCATAAAGCCCACTCACTTACATGGATTTCACCAGATAATTGAGGTTATTCATCAGGAAGAGCTGCTGTAGCTCCTCTTCTGGATAAAGCCGTGATCTAGACTCTAGGTTCCTCCTCAAAGCCATCACCAGCTGAGCTGTCTCACTCTCCAAGCTCCTCCCGACACCTGGCGCCCTCCCATTGCCCGCCCCTGCTGACATGGCAGATGCTGACGTGGCAGCGGCTGCGGCAGCAGCGATTGGATTGGAGGAGAGAGGGGAGAGGGAGGAGGCGGTGGAGGGGAGGGGGAGGAGGGCGAAATCTGCTGTGAGGGAGTTGGGGTCCTCGTCCGGATGGGTCTCAAGAATGGCGAAGAGGGAGGTCAAGGAGTCAACGTAGCTGCGTTCTCCTTGCCTGCGAATGGGAGGAGGGGGGATGGGGCGGGAGGGGCGTGTGTATGTGATTGAATCAAGTGTCTGCTGTGAGGGAGTTGGGGTCTTCGTCTGGATGGGTCTCAAGAATGGCGAAGAGGGAGGGAGGGGTGAGGGAGTCAACGTAGCTGTGCCTTCCTTGCCTGTTGGGTTGGGTGCAAGGGGGGAGGGAAGGTTGGTGACTTCTGAGTCTGGGACGTCTGCTGTGAGGGAGTTGGGGGGTCTTCATCTGGGAGCGTCTCGAGGGTGGAGAAGAGGGAGGTCAAGGAGTCAACGTAGCTGCGTTTTCATTGATTGCTGTGGGCAGGGAACAAGCAGGGGTCGGGATGGAATGAGGTCTATTTTTGAGGCGCCTCAAAAATAGACTCCTCACGCATGCTTTCTTTGGGCAGGGAACAAGCAGGGGTCGGGATGGAATGAGGTCTGCAGCAAGCAAGGGAGTTGGGGTCTTCGTCTGGGTGTGCCTCGAGGAGGCAGAAAAGGGAAGCTAGGGAGTCAACGAAGCTGTGCCTTCTTTGCCTAGTTCAATGACACCTCATCTATCACCGGTCCGCTTCTGGACGGGTCTCACGGAAGGAGAGAGAAGAGAGAATTCAGGGAGTGCACTTCATCGGGAAGGAAAGAAAAGAGGTATTTTGAGAAGAGAGGAGTCAGGAAGCCTATATTTCCCAAAGCAAATCTTCTATCACGGGTCTGCTTCTGGATGGGTCTCACGGAAGGAGAGAAAAGGGAGAAGTCCCCGCACCTCTGCATGTGGCTGCAGCGGATGTAGCTGGCCACATGGCTGGCGAGGGAAAGAAACCACCGCGATTCCTCTGGGAACTAGAAACTGGGTCATCAGCCACTCATACGAGCCTCACCTCTGCATGCGGCTGCTCCCTCACCCTCACCTCTGCATGTGGCTGCTCCCTCGCCCTCACCTCTGCATGTAGCTGCGGATGTAGTTGGCCACATAGCTGGTGATGGAGTCAACTGCCCCCCCTCGGGGCACGATCTCATAGACAGACTCGTCAGGGGCCACAGCTGTGCTGCTGTTGGCGGTGGCGCTGCGAGTGAGGAAGCTGCAAGGTGGGGGGTGGGCAGGATGCCAGGAGTGAGAAGAGAGAGGGCAGAGCGGTGGGTATTGTCAGTCGCCTCGGGTCTCATAGACAGACTCGTCAGGGGCCCCAGATGTGCTGCTGTTGGCGGCGGTGGCGCTGCGAGTGAGGAAACTGCAAGGTGTTTGGGGTGGGGGGGGGGGGGGGGGGGGGTGGGGGGGGGTGCAGGAGTGAGAAGAGGGGTGGGTATTGTATTAAGCCTGAGATCTCATAGACAGACTCGTCAGGGGCCGCCAACGCGCTGCTGTTGGCGGTGGCGCTGCGAGTGAGGAAACTGGGGGGAAAGCAGGGAGGAGAGTGGAGACAGCACGGTCCTCAGTCAGCAGCTCCGTCACTAGCCACTTGAATCGCTAGAAGCCGGCTGTTACCGCTCATGCTCGCCCACTGCTGCTCTCCTCGCCCACTGGTGCTTACCCACTGGTGCTTACCTAAGAGCCGGTTTCTTTGCCGGAACAGGCTTCCGCATGGCATCCGCAAGGTTAGACGCAGCAGAGTCTTCCAGAAGCAGCTTCAGCCGCTGGAAGCACGCCGCCACCGCTCGCCCCAGGAGGAGAGGTAAGCCCTCGCATGCACCCCACACACTGCTGACCTTCAGGTCCTGGAAGGTGGCAGAGAGCTGGTTACAATCAGAGGGATCGGTAAAGAGGGGGAGGAGGGGGAGTGGGAAGAGACTGAAGGTTGGGGGGGTGACATGAGGATAGTGTGTGAGAAGCTTCAGCCGCTGGAAGCACGCCGCCACTGCTCGCCCCAGGAGGAGAGGTAAGCCCTCGCATGCACCCCACACACTGCTGACCTTCAGGTCCTGGAAGGTGGCAGAGAGCTGGAGCAGAGGGCGAGGGCGGGGGTGGAGGGGAAGCGAGGATCGTGTGCGAGAACCCAGTGCCCTCTGATGGGAGAGCCTTCCAATTCCAAGAGAAGCTTCAGCCAGTGGATGCACGCTACTCAGTGGCCCAGCAGAGCAGAGAGGGTCTTCCAAGAGCAGTTTCACTGCTCGCACCAGCAGCAGAGGCAGGCCCTCACACCTAGACATGGGCAAAAAAAATCGCATCGCATCGCATTTAAACGCATTTTTGCGATGGCGATGTTTTTTTTTTTTTAATCATCGCGCGATGCGATGAATTAATATCGCGCGATTTAATTTTAATCGCATTTTAATCGCGCTTAAAATACGCGATTTAAGTGCGATATGCGATTTTTAAAAAATCGCGCGCGATATTGCACTGAAACCCACTCTGAAACCCACTTTGAAACCACACTGGTTATTTGCACTCTAGCGTACGACTGCCCGTGAGTCAATTTCCCCGCAGCCATGGTTTTTTCCTGTTTTTTTGGGGTGTTTTTTAATTCTGTTTTAAAACGCGATGCGATTTAAAATCGCATTGCGCGATTTAATTAAACATCGCATGCGATTTTTTAATACATCGCGGGTAAAATGCGATGTGCGATTTTATTTTATTTGAAAAATAAATCGCGCGATGCGATTTAAAATCGCATCGCTTTTTTTATCATCACACCTGCATGCGATGCGATTTAAATCGCAATCGCGTTTTGATCATGTCTACTCACACCCCCCCCACCCACTTCGCTGACTTCCAGGTCCTGGAAGGTAGCAGAGAGCTGGGGAGTGCACGGGAAGAGATGGGCGATTCTTGAGAATTCTCAAAAATTGCACGGGAAGAGATAGGCGACTCTTGAGAATTCTAAAAAATTGCACGGGAAGAGATAGGCGACTCTTGAGAATTCTCAAAAATTGCACGGGAAGAGATAGGCGACTCTTGAGAATTCTCAAAAATTGCACGGGAAGAGATAGGCGATTCTTGAGAATTCTCAAAAATTGCACGGGAAGAGATAGGCGATTCTTGAGAATTCTCAAAAATTGCACGGGAAGAGATAGGTGACTCTTGAGAATTCTCAAAAATTGCACGGGAAGAGATAGGCGACTCTTGAGAATTCTCAAAAATTGCACGGGAAGAGATAGGCGACTCTTGAGAATTCTAAAAAATTGCACGGGAAGAGATAGGCGATTCTTGAGAATTCTCAAAAATTGCACGGGAAGAGATAGGCGATTCTTGAGAATTCTCAAAAATTGCACGAGAAGAGATAGGCGATTCTTGAGAATTCTCAAAAATTGCAAGAGAAGAGATAGGCGCACGGAAAGGCATTGGAGGGGAAGCCAGCAGCAGAGGAAGGGAGATTTGTGAGTGTAGTGAGTGATGTGAGAGTCTTGAGCAACAGCTTGACCCGCTGGTAGCACACTGCCAGCAGCAGGCCAGCAGCAGCGGGGCAGGCCCTCACACGAGAAGGAGGTATATGATATGAGGGGAGTGTGTGAATGTGAGAGTCTCCCAGCAGCAGCTTGAGCCGCTGCTAGCACGCTGCCACTGCTCACCCCAACAGCAGATGCTCGCATGCCCCCCCCCCCACACAGCCTTCGCTCACTCGCAGGCAAACATGTTGCCTCTACTCTACTCTACTCTACTCTACTCTACTCTACTCTACTCTACTGATAACCGACAGCCTCACCATGGACACCTAGGCATTAGTAAAACGCCCGTAGGCCCGGCTTGGCCCGAGCCTGGCCCGTTTTTTTACGGGCCGGGCCACATTTCCACCCTGGTCGGCCCGCTCGGTCCGGGCCGGGTTTGGGACCGCGGGGGCCGGCCCGGCCCGTCGTCAGGCAGGGAGTTCGATGACGGGCCGGGCTGGGCCGACCCGCTTGGCGAACTGACGCGCGGCCCACCCATGCGTCACAACATTTGCGCACTTCATATTTCAACCTTAGGGTCGAGATTTCCATCCGCGCAGGTCATTTTCAGCTACAAAAATGGCCTCAGGACTTCTCACTAACCTCTCCCCTACTACCTCGTCTCCTTCGCCCTAAGTTAGCCTATATAGTACGAATTAGTCGCGTACGTAGTAGATCTAGTAGTTTTACAGACAAGCAGCTTTGTGTGCTCCTTCTCCACCTTCCCCAAAACCCAAAACCCAACACCCCATCCCCCGTTTTGCCAAGCCAAAGCAACCCCATGTTTCGCCAAGCCAATCAGGCACCCAGACCCACCTCACACTCCCACATACCTCTGGCATGATCTCTTGAACCACTTGATAAGCGTCCAGGAGGGAGAACAGCTGCTCCGCCATGCGCCGCGACACAATGGCCCTAAGCACGTCTGCTAGAAACAAAACCCGTCGCCCGACGCCACCATCCTCCAGCACTCCTCGCAGTGCGGCTCGCCTCTGCGTGTCCATGCCCCTCCACGCCTCGTTGGCCGTCTGGTGCTCCATGGGGATGATGAGTGCTCCCTGTAAGACGTTAGGGTTGCACGAGGGGGATACGTCGGAGCATGATTCACCTTTGAGTGTCCAAGGGGGTGATCAGAGCGCCCTGCAGCACAAGAGGGTTTCAGACAGGAAGAGATACACACCCACAGCACACTACTTGTCTCTGTGTATCCATGCCCCCATCCCCAAGCCTCTTTCGGCTGTCTGATGCCCCCTCGGGGCGATCCATGCTCCATAAAATTATGTGTACACCCACCCACATCAGCCATAGGCGACCCGCACCCGTTTTTCTCGGGCCTGCTCCAGCACTCCCGTTGAGGCCTCAAGAATAACCCCCGGACACAGCACGTCCTTGCACGGTTGCTAACCATCCATGCTTTAGCATAGCGTCAGTCTTCAATGATATAGTCTGCTCGCACCCACTCCTTTGAACGCCTGCTGCTCCAGCACCCACCACGGTGCCTCGTGAATCACCCTCCCGGGCTCAGCACACTTTTACACCATCCATGCTTTGGCATAGCCTCAGCCTTACAATGATATAGGCTGCTTGCATGCATCCACTCCAGCACCCGCCACGGGGCCTCATGAACCAACCCCAGCACTCAACATGTTTTCACATTGGGTGACGCGTGTTCTAACCCGTGTGTAATGAGTCGATTTCTTAATCGACTAAAAAATCGACTCATTACACTCTAACGTAGTCATAGCATCAGCCTTACAATGATATATGCAGCCTGCACCCACTCCTTGGATGCCTGCTCCAGCACCCGCCACAGGGCCCAGTGAATCGCCCCAGGGCTCAGCACATCCCTCCGGTGGGTGATGCATGTTTGTTCTAACATACTCATGGCATACTTACAATGATATACGCAGCCTGCACCCACTCCTTGGACGCCTGCTCCAGCACCCGCCACGGGGCCTCGTGAATCACCCCTGGGCTCAGCACGTCCTCCAGCTTGAGTTCGTCCATCAGCGCCTTCACAGCCTCTGCTCTCACGGACCTGTGTTGAAGGTTCAAGGATAGAAGGATCAATGAGAAGGGGAGAGACGGGACGAGCATTGCGAATCACCCCAGGACTCAGAACATCCTCCAGCTTGAGTTCGTCCATCAGCGCCTTCACAGCCTCTGCTCTCACGGACCTGTGGGGTGTCAGGGTTTCGGGGTTGACGGGGGGGAGCGGGGGAGGCAGGAGAGGCCTCGTGAATCACCCCCAGGCTCAGCAAGCCCTCCAGACTTAGCTCGTCCATTCAACGCCTTCACCGCCTCTGCTCGCACGGACCTACAGGGGGCAGCGTGGGGCAGCATGGGGCGCAAGGTGTAGGGGCATGGGAAGCGAAGGGAGAAAACAGTTGCCTGGTGAATCACCCCTGGGCTCAGCACACCCTCCAGCATGAGTTGGTCCCTCAACGCCCTCACCACCTCTGCTCTCACGGACCTATAGGGGCCGCATGTGAAGGGGGGAGGGGGAGGGGGTGCGGAGAGAGAGGTGGGAGGGGGAGGGAGGGAGAGGGGAGGAGTGAGAGGGGAGGGATGGGCAAGCGGGAGAAGTGCCTCGTGCCCAGGACTCGGCACATCCTCCAGCCTGAGTTCGTCCCTCAACGCCTTCACCGCCTCTGCTTTCACGGACCATTAGGGGCCGCATGTGGTAGATTGATGGGGACGGGGGAAGGGAGATGGGAGGGGTGAGGGGTGGGCAATTGGGAGCAGTGCCTCATGCCCACTGCCCAGGACTCGGCACATCCTCCAGCCTGAGTTCGTCCCTCAACGCTGCCTCTGCTCTCACGGACCTAGAGGGCCGCATCCAGGTGGGGGGTCGGTCGGGGGGTGGGAGGGAGGGGAGGGGACACCTAGGGGGTGGGAGGGAGGGGAGGGGACACCAAGGGGGTGGGACCGTGGGTGGGAGGGAGGGGAGGTGGGGGAGAAGAAGGGTTGGGCTGGCAAAGGGGAGAAGCACACTATGAATCATCCCCGGACTCAAAACGTCCTCCAGCCTACCACATTTTTAAGGGAGCGTAAGCCTCAACGCACTTTCCTTCCGCGCCTCCCTGCACCATCCGCCCTGCCGCCTCATTCGGCCACCGCCCCGTGCTCACAGGAAACAGCTCAGGAACAGGAAGCGGCCCAGGCACCAGAGAGAGCAGGAACCAGCTCAGGGAAGCGGAGAGAGCAGGATACCACACTGGGCAGCCTCACCAAGACTTTGGTTTTAAGGAGGGGACGCGCCCCAGCGCCCACTGGTGGTAAGCCTCCATACAATCTCACCTGTAAGCTTCCACGCACTTTCCTCCCGCCCCTCCCTGCACCATCCGCCCTGCCGCCTCATTCAGCCACCGCCCCGTGCTCACAGGAAACAGCTCAGGAACCTTCCTCTTCCCCTTCCGCCTCCCCCCTCCTCCTCCCCCCCTTCCCCACCCGCTTTCTCTTCCCCTTCCGGTCCTGCCTCTTGAGCTCCACTCCTCCCCTCACTCCTCCCATCCCCCCTTTCCCCTGGACTCAAAAGGGCCCCATCCTCCCCCTCCTCTCCTCCTCTCCCCTCTCTAACCCCCCTTCCCTCCTGCCCCTCCCCCTTCCCGTCCCCCCCCTCCCCTGCAGGCTCCGCGCTCCCCCCATGGAGGAACTCCGCCTGAAAGAGCCTCCTCAGCTCGTCTGCTGAGAACCTGGCCGAGGCTTGCTTGCTGGGGTTTCAAGGGCGTGGGGGGAGATGGGGAGTTGGGGGGAAAGGCAGGGGCAGGGAAGTAGGGGATGGGAGCGGGGGGGGAGGGGGGCTATTGAGTCGACTCAAGAGCAGGCTCGTCTGCACTAAATAGCGCAGAGGACTGCTTGATGGAGGAAGCGGGGAAGCCAATAGAGAAGGAAATCGAGGAGGAGACCGAAGGGCAAGGAGCACATCAACTCCGCCTGGAATGGCCACCTCAGCTCATCTGCTGAAAAGCGGGCAGAAGATTGCTTGCTGGGGATTTAGAGGTGAAAAGGGCGGGGGGGAGAAGGGGAGGGAAGAGAGGGAGCAGGGAAAGTTGGCGAGGAAGTGCCTTTTCAGCTCGTCTGCAGCACCAAAGCGGCAGAAGCTTGCTTGCTGGGGGTTTACAGGGGCGGGCGGGGAGGGAAGGAAAGGGAGGGAGCAGGGAGTGTTGGCGAGGAAGTGCCTTCTCAGCTCGTCTGCAGCACCAAAGCGGCAGAAGCTTGCTTGCTGGGGGTTTACAAGGGCGGGGCGGGGAGGGAAGGAAAGGGAGGGAGCAGGGAAAGTTGGCGTGGAAGTGCCTTTTCAGCTCGTCTGCGCTGAAGCGGGCAGAAGCTTGCTTGATGGGAAGAGGGGGAAGAGCGGCTCGTTTCCTCCTTTTAAGTGTTTCTCTTAGCTCGTAATACAAATCCTTCATCCCAGCCCAAGAGAAAACCTCTCATCCCAGCATGTGAGGCAAGAAAACGGTTCGTTACAAAAAGCATCGCCCCCCCCCCCCCCCTCCTAGCTTTTACCCACCTCCTCCTCTTAAGTATGTCTCTTAGCTCGTAGTCCAGATCCTCCATAGCGGTCCTGAGCAGCATGTCAGCCCTCCTCCCCGCGTCCTTCTCCCCCACCTCTGCCAGCACCTTGCGCACATTCAGCAGCAGGTCCACCACCGGGAGGTATTCATCCAGCTTGCCATGCGGCCCTGCTGCAATCATGGCCTCGATCTGTGGGGTTAGGGGGACCAGAACAGCAGGAAGGGGTGAACGGGCGTGGAAGGTTTTCTCCCCCACCTCTGCCTCACATTCAACGGTGGGGGAGGCGGCGGAGGTGGGGGGGGGGGGGGAGGGAGGGGGGGAGAGATAATGAGTCGACTCAAAGCCCACCTTGCCCGTGATGGACCTAGAAAGAGGCCTTGCCAGGCGGGCCAGGTGCTCTCGCTGCCTCTTTCTAAGGGAGAGGGGACCGGGGGGGGAGGAGCGGGAGTGCGGAGAAACGAGGGAGGATGGCAAAGAGGGAGGGAAGAAATCTTCAAGTCTATCCTCTTGCCTGCTTCCCCTGCTCACCTGACTCAGCAGCTCAGCTACTTGTTCCAGAATTTTCTCCTTTTCCTCCTCAACCCCTCTCAACCCTCCTCAACCGGCCTCCAACCAAAGTAATGACCCGCTTGCTCACCTGACTCAGCAGCTCGGCTACTTGTTCCAGAATGTTATCCTTATCCTCCTCCTCCGCCTCCTCCTCTCCCTCCCCTTCTTCCTCCACTTCAGTCACCTCCTCCTCCTCCGTTTCCTCCCCCTCTTCCTCTTCCTCAAACTCCGTTTCCGTCTCTTCCACTTCTGTCTCCGCCTCCGTTTCAGCCTCCGTTTCAGCCTCCGTTTCAGCTTCCGTCTCGAATTCCGTTTCCGTCTCAGCCTCCGTTTCCGCCTCCGTTTCAGTTTCCGTCTCAGAATCCGGCTGTGCAACCGGGCGCCTGTACGGAACCGAGCCGCTCTGCCGCTGCTGAGCTGGCACCGGCGCGTTTCTTTGCCAGTTGTTCCGGTCATACGGTTGCTCCCTAACCTCCCGCGAATCCCGGGAATCACGCTGGTTCGAGTAACGAGGTTCGTACTGTTCATCCGGCTCGTACGCGTCTCTAGAGTTCTGCTTGCCGCGGGACGGTTGATGTTCTTCTAACGGGGGCTGGGTTTGCGTGACTGTGGGGGGGGAGCCTGCCGCGCTTGCTGCGGCTGTTTTTGCTGCTGCGGCTGCTGCTGCTGCTCGGGGCGGAGAAGCTGACGTGGCTGATGATGTGGAAGAGAGGGGAGCGCACGTGGCATGTCGTCATCTTCGTCCCACGAATTGCTGCCTGGCCCGCCTCTCACGGGACCAGGTCGTTGCCGTGTGTCCTGACGGACGAGCAGGGAATAGCGGGGAAGCAAAAATACGAGACGATTAGCAACCGCACGGGAATAGCGCGTCTAAATCAATGAGCGGATTTTGAGTGGACTCACGGGAGCAGATCGTTGTCGCGTGGCCTAACAGACGAGCAGGGAAAAGCCAGGCAGCGGAATATGGGAAAATTAGCAACCTTACAATAGAGGTGACTTTTGAGTCGACTCAAAAATTAGCAGCCTTACAATCGAGGTGACTTTTGAGTCGACTCAAAAATTAGCAACCTTACAATCGAGGTGACTTTTGAGTCGACTCAAAAATTAGCAACCTTACAATCGAGGTGACTTTTGAGTCGACTAAAAAATTAGCAACCTTACAATCGCATTCAAAATGAAAGAAATTCAGCCAAGAAGGCCATGAGGCTTAAGGCTGGGAGCACGGCTCGGCTGCAAAATTCAAGCGGAGAAGGAGAAAAAAGAGTGGCGGGCCTGGCAAAAGGAGGACACCGTGTGGTCGCATAGGAGGATAAAAAGCAACACGGCTAAAAGGCTATAAGGCTAAAACGCTATAAGGCTCAACTGCTATAAGACTAAAATGCTCAAAGGCTGTAAGGCAAAGAGGCTGCGATGATGCGTACCTTATGCATGATGGTAGACTGCTGGTAGTATCATCCACGACGACAACTTTTGAGTCGACTCAAAAGTCATCTGGCTAAAAGGCTGCGATAGTGCGTACCTTATGCATGCTGGAAGACTGCTAGCAGTATCATCCGCAAAGACACGGTAAGCCCGAAACCGCACCGAAAGTGTGTGTGTTTTTTTTTTGGCTTTTCAAAGCTAGACTGCTCTCGACATCATCCGCAAAGAAACGGTAAGCCGAAAACCGCACAGAAAGTGACCTCCTTCAACGGGAGACAGCTACAGCAACCCAACTTCAGCAACTAAGAAAAATCAAGATTGTTCATGTCGCTTGTTTCTTTACAACGCGAGAGTCGCAAAAGACAGCTAGCGAAATCATCACGGCGCGTGCTGACTCGCACTGCCAGCGTTCCGTAATGCTTCTCAAAGCGCTAATCGCAAGGAGGAGCAGCGACCAACATGCCTTATTGAGCTGCAGGCCAGTATCCGTGTGGTGTGGCTGCGCTTACGATACTGATCTATACCTAGACTGACAAGACACACAGCCTGTTGATATTGTCAACATCCGTCAATGGCTGCGGTACAGTGTGTATCGTACGGTAATTTCAAGGTTAGAACGCGGTACAGGAGGAGGGGAGGAGGAGAGGGGAAGGTAGAAGGCGGTACTGTAGTGAGGTCTGGTATGGGCGAGTGGCGAGGGTTCTTATATCGAGGGGAAACTTCCGAGGTTTTGCTGTCCGCTGCGGGCCAAGCCTGTCGCTCAGGTCGGTTCGGATGAAGGCGAGGGAAAACGGTTACTGTTCGGGTCAAACCTGGCCCCTGGTGTTCAGATCGAGACGTTACAATGACGTGTCAACATCTTGAAACACGAGATGGAATTACGAACACTTCATCCCAAGTCTAACTAAAATAGGAAGCCAAAACGAAATGTAGAACAATTGCAAGCTTTAAAAAACATAAATCAGCATGCTTGATATGCAAGCCAACAGCTTTCTCATGCTCTAGCAGGCTTGAACCAGAGCTCTGCTGGCAGAATTGCAACAACATCCGTAGGCAACAGTAGGAAGGTATCGAGGAAGGCGTCGTTGACAGGAGGCACGCGTGCCACTCCCACCAATGTGCATTTCCCATACGCATCAAGTCTTGAGCCTTGTGCTGAGCGCATGGGCCCCCCCGAGATTTCTGTGGTTAGGATTGTTTCTACAGTAAGTGGTGGCGCAGTGTAGATGGGTCCAGCTGTAAAGAAGAATTTCGAGATGAAGGTAAGCTCCACCTGGAGGAGGGAGGGAGGGACAATGGATGTGAAAGCAGAGGGAAATGAAGGTGGGTAGGAATGTGGAGGGTGCATCCTTATCAATATCATTTTCTTTAAATTTACCCATGTTGCTATGATACTCCAGCTAAGCGCTGGGGATCACCCTTCCCCCACTCGCAACCCTATCCACACTGGGCAATGTGCTGGCAATCCACATTGCCTGCATCCTCTCACCCCTGCCACCCATGCCACGGCGACGCTCAACGGGCTTACTCAAGGTGACTTGAGTCGACTCAAAAGTCAGCCCTATCCACATTGCATGCATCCCCTCACCCCTGCGCCTCATGCCACAGCTACGCTCAATGGTGTACCCAAGCCACCATCCCCCTTCATTACAAGCTCCATCTCCAATACGATACAGCAGCCTCAAACCCCAAAACTGTATCCCCACAAAAACATTCCAGGGCGCCCCTTTTTCTCCTCCCCCCCTTTTTCTCCTCCCCCCCTTCCTCTCCTCCCCCCCTTCCTCTCCCCCCCCCCAACAACCGCTTCGGCCCCTGCCCCGATCCTCATCCCCCTAGCTTACCTTGCGAGTCGACCTTTCCAGGTATCCCCTGAGTACCGCAGGTGGTGGAGGGAAGGCTCATAGCCGCGTTTGCTTATTATAATGCACAAGGAGATGAACAGGTCCCACCACCACCCCTCCCTTTTGAGTCGACTCAAAAGCAGTAGGGGGATGAGCATGCCCCCCCCCCCCCCCCATCCCCCCATCCCCTTCTTCCCCCTTCCCCCACCCCCAATCAGCATCGCCCCCAAGCTTACCTTGCCAGTCGACCTCTCCAGGTAGCCCCTTAGTGCCACGGGGGCGATCTCGATCTTAAGCGGCGGGGGGAGCGGAAGCCCGAGGAACCGCGCCGTGCTGTACTGCAGGGGGGGAATGAACAGTCTTCCCCCACCACCTCCCCTCCCCCTCCCCTCCCTTCCCCCTTCCCCTCCCTTCCCCCAACTCCAATCCGAATTTCCAAATTCTTACCTTGCCAGTCGACCTCTCCAGGTAGCCCCTCAGCGCCGCGGGGGCGATCTCAATCTTAAGCGGCGGGGGGAGCGGAAGCCCGAGGAACCGCGTCGTGTTGTACTGCAGGGGGGGGATGAACAGCGTCTCGGGGTCGAATACTATCTCAATGCGATCCGAACCGTCGTCTAAATCAGTCGCGGTTCCCGAGCCGCCTCCCCCGCCCACGCCGCCGGGGCTGTAGCTAAAATCGGGGTAAATCGCGACTCCGAGCCCGCAGTTATCGCCGATTTGAATCTCCACCGTGGATCCTTGGGGGCACGAGGGATAATGGCGCTGCCAGCGGAGGATGACGTGGAGTCTGGGGATGCTGACGTGGAGGGCGGTGCGAGTAAGAGAGCGGGAAATACGGCGGATAGCGCCACAAAAGAACGTCGCGATATTGAGTTATCCGCCACTAGATGCTCTGGCGCGGTGACGTCATCAGAGCCGTTGAGAAGAAAGGGGTGCTGATGATTGCGGATAAGACCTTGGGACGATTCGACCTTGGGAACTCCATCGGCAGTATGAGAGCCTCCATCGGAAATTGCACGCGATTGCGCTCGGGCTTGCGTTTGAGGTGCCTCAAAAGCGACCTTGGGAACTCCATCGGCAGTAGAAGAGATTGCACGCGATTGCGCTTGGGCTTGTGCTTGCGCTTGCGCTGCGACCGTGCTTGCTGACTTAGCCTGTGAAATTCGCGGGTGCAACAATGGGGTCCCTTGGCGGCGAGACTGAACGAGCGGGTTCCGCGTCGAGCCGCGCCGGCTGCTTGCCCAGACGGTGCTGCCGCCGCTGATTGCGGCGAGCTGGGATTGCGCGATCATGGGGAAGGTGCGTGACGTGGCAGTCCGACAAGGCACGTGGCGTACAGCCAGAGCAAATTGACCATGCCACAGAGAACTGTGGTTTGTGTGAGATTAGCTTATCCGCGGTATGCTTTTAGTTGATGTATTCTGGCACTGCTGTAAAGTGTGAAATATAAGGTAAGAAAATACTATGCAAGTAAACTACGCAATCATAAACATTTCGCACTATCAATGGTGGTCACCTAGCCATTCTGCCACAGTAAAACATCACCCAACGCAAACACTACGAACCTCTAAAGGTGTGGTACCTTAGATCTCGAACAAAGTAGAACGAAGCTCCACCACACTAAAACCTCGCGTTTGTCGAACTGAATCATATCTAACCCGTTTTTTAAGTCATCGTACCACTCACCTCCATTCGAACACCCCTGGGAGTTAGAGATCTAAGGTACCACGCCCTGATTGAGCATACTACATCCCTTGAAAATACCAAAAGCATGAGGTATGCTCGTCGTCACTCTACCATGTGCGGTTGTCAGGAGGTCTCCACCACACCGAGATGGCTTGAAAACGGTGAGCCTTCTTCCAATGATATGACAGTCAGACGCCCAAGATGGCAAGCTTCCCCCCCCACTCTCCCCTCCCCCCTCCCCTCCCCCCTCCCTCCCCCCTCCCCTCCCCCCTTCATTCACCCCTCTTCACCTCTTCTCTGTGAATGGCGAGCTTCCTTCCGACGATGCGTCAGATGCATAAGATGGTGTGTTGAGGACGGATAAGGGGCTCCAGTAACGGCCAGGATGGTCCACCTTTCTTGACGAGCAGGTTGCAAAAGGTGCTTGGAACTGCATTGGTGGAAGTGCTTGTACCGAGGCGGATGATAAGGGGGATTGCAGTGGGATAAGCGGTGAAAGCGGATGATGGGGTTGCAGGTGTAGGGAGGGCGGAACTTTGCCGACTCCTACTTCCGTCTCCCTTTCTCCCCCCTTTTCTCCCCCATTCCCATTTTCCCGTCCAGTAGCCTCAACCAGCAGCATATCCTTCAGCCTGCTGTAACCGCATTTTGGTCAAATGCGGCTACTTTCAGGCAGAGAGGAAGGAGCAGAGGAGGGAGCCAAGGGCGTGCAGATCCACGGGCTTGCTGATGATTCCCTGTGGAACTTTTTCCAACAGCAGCGTGTGAAAGTGTGGTGGTTCCAGGACTCGATACGAGAAGCTCCTGTACAAGCAGCAGTTGCGGATAAAAGGCAGAATGGGCAGGAAATACTCGTATTAATAAGGAACATACATCAGATTCAACTCTCTTTGAAGTGTAAAGGGACAAAGAGGAAGCTCAAGCTAATGTTGGAGCTCGCGTGCCTGCGTATCGCTAGAGGAAGGCTGTTTCTAGTTCTATTCATGTCAGAAAGATAAGGAGCAAACGAGGTGGTGCTTGAGGCGCCCTGGAAGGGGCTTATCCGCAGTATAAGCCTCGCCAAGAGGCGCATCAAGAACCACCTCGCGCGTGCAAAGCGAACACCAGAAAAAAGGCCGAGTCACAGAAGCCCGGTCACAAGGAAGTTCGACACCGAGGCTAGGGGCAAAACTAGAGTTCGACGCGCGAGTTAACGGATCAGGCTATAGCGATGGCAACTGAACCGACCTGGAGCGACGCGTGACCCGCCGTGGCGTGTCCTAACTCGGCGCAAGATGACCCGGTTGGAACAGCAGCACCAATAGCAGCGGCGGCGCCAAGCGAAGGTATGTCGATGCGAAGCTCCGCCAAGCGACTCGCATCAGACGACTGCTGCAACGCTGTTTCGCAGACGCAGCTCGGTCGTACAGCTGTCGCCGTCGTCGTCGCATTCTCGTCGTCGCCGAGCCACGTCCGGAACGAGAGCTGTTTCGCAGACACCGGTAGCAGCTTGGAGGCTTTCGCCGAAACTTTCGCCGAGCCTTCCACGGAAACGTTCACGTTCGATGCTGCCAGTGGCAGCGGCAGTGGCGCTTTTTTTAGTCGAATCAGAAATCACGCCGTTGAGCTCTTTAGCGGCTGCAACGGAGCGACGCGACTGACAGGCGCGGGAGCCGCGATACTGGGAGCGGGAGCAGTGAGTTCGTTAAGCGGCCTGCGACGGAGTAACGCGTGCGACGGGCGCGGGAGCAGACGCGCCGGGCGCGGAGGGGGCGTCGGGGGAAGGGTCGTCGAAGACATATCGTCCCAGATCCCTCCGCCTTCGCGGACGCACGGGGGGCCCGCGGGGCGATCGGCGGGTTGCGCCGCCGCTAGACGTTCCGCCTCTCCGCGTTTCCGCTTCTTATTGTAGCGCTCGATCTCGCGCATGAGCACAACCGGGGTGGGGGTGAGCGGAGCGGGAACGATGGGCGGAATGACGAGGAGCCCCGGCCGCGCAAGGCGGCCGATGGGGGGATGCGGGTTGGGGGTGGGCGGAGGCGGCTCGTAGAGGTCGGATTGCCAGTAGGGGTTGCCCCAGAACTGCTGCTGCAGCCGCGTATCCATGTACATAACCGGCAGCCATGGCGGACTTTGGAACTTGAACTTCGAAGAAAGGCAAGCCCGACTTGCTCTGGTTGGTGACAATGGATGAGGCAGAGACGCCTTGCTCGACGAATATCGATGAGCTTTTGAATAGCCTTGCACCTGGTTAGTCAATGCCACTATCGCTAGCTGACCTTTACGACTTCGGGCAGACTTAGCGAGACAGGAAAGCAACCGTCCAGCAGCAATCATCTGCCTATCAAGCTCTGGATGTCGATGGTCCACAACTAGACCTTAGGGGTTCAGAAGCTCCCTGTGAAGAGAAGAAAATGGCTGCAATTTTTCCCAAACAACTGGAAAATGCTATCTCAAGCACGCAGCGCGTCCACGGTTTTTTATCTCAGCTAAGCTCAATGCACAAACCTCTACATGCACTAAACTCGATGCACCAAGATCGATGTGCGTCGCTCGCGGTTTGTTTTCTCACTCTCGATCGACTTGATGTTTTTTCACCCGCCAATTCGCCTCGAGATATACGCGCGCACTCCAAAATGTCCCCCCCTCTCCTCCACCACCCTTTCCTCCAATTCCCCCGAACAGTCCTCCTCCCTCGAGCTATTCGCCTCGCGCGACTCGTTCGAGCATCATCCATTTCCGAGGGAGGAGGAGGATGTGACGCTCCGTCAAGTTCGGTTGCTTTGAGGCGGCGGCAAGATAGGACTACAGTAGCTGACGGCTGGAACCGTTTCGCGTAAGCAAACAGTCACGTTGGGCGACGAGCCTAGCTGGGACTGTACAGCGAACAGTTCCAGCTGGAACAAGAACAACCAATCGTAATGCGTCGTTTGGGTATTCTGGGACTAGCCTGAAGTCGGTGTGTCGCAAGGGGCCTGGTTGGGTGTCGTACAGATGGGCAAGGAAGCACGCGTGCGAAACGTGCGAGAACGTCAAGTCGCGTTTTGGGGCGCGCGTCGTGTCGTCATGTGACACCCCAGCCCCCAACGCGCCTCGATTATCACTAGGACCACCTTTTTGGACGGTGGGTGCCTTGAGCCACCACCTGTGCCACCCTACACTCTCCTGTTGGGTTGTGTGATTCGTCGAGAGCATGCCTCGTTTCGGTATTGTGCGATTTGTTGTGAGTGCAACACTCCACTGCGATTACAATTAGACAACAACTTTCCCGTTATAATTGGTCTACGTGGGCAAGAAAGCTTGACAAATCACTCAATCTAAAAAGGAAACTACAGGTGACGAGATATTGATCAGACGAGTGGCATTGCCTAGAGAACAGCTAAGGGGCACTTGAAGATGCTGAGGTGGCATCCTTGTCCTAGTGCTACCTACATCTACACATTTCATGAATCCTAGTCTAATGCCCACTATGATTTCCTCTTAGCACTAACTTATCTATCCCTAGGACTCTCCTTGATGGCTGTGCTAGCTGCTACCATTGGTTTCTGAAGTACCTTACGGTCC